ATCCTAAACTCAAAAGCCCAAAGCCTCGCAAAGTCTCCAAAACTCACGACCACCAAGATTTCAGGAGCCAGCTGGACCTCCGCGCCAGCGCGGGAAGAAGCATCGCTGGCTTCACGGCTTCGCTGTGTGTTTTTTTGAGTCTCCAGTTACAGTTGGGGGTTGACAGTTACGATTACTGGTACTGGTTTTAATTCTAGTGGTAATATAGCGATTACTATTACTACTTACCTTTACTGCTATTTGTTTGTTGGCTCTTATTACTATTGCCGCTATTATTCCTATTATGGTGTAGGGGCTTGGGGCTCATGTCTCTAGAGTTAGGAGTTTCAGGCTTTGGTGTCGGAGGATGCGGGGCACAGGGTGTGGGGATTCGTTTAGATTCTTCAGTTGAGTAGTACTTTATTTGGGGATACTATGGTACCCATTATAGAGTAAGATTATACCCTCCTTTGGGGTATAGTATTTTATACAAGGAATACAATCTTACTAGGTTCAACCACCAAGAAACCACTACTCTGTTGCAGATCTCTGGCATCCAGGCAGGTTCTGTGGCATCAGAGCATCACTTTGATTCGTGGGCTTTGTTACCGAAACCCCTCTATGGGGGTTTGCCTAGATTAAGGGTACTACTAAGGCTTATGGTATTTTTGGGACTATATTGGGTTGCCCCTATTTAGGGAACTACCATGTTCAGGACACTAAAAGCGCCATATGCCACATGATTGCGTAGCCCAAATCCTACTGACCGGGCGGGCTTTCTGTGGTCTTGCTTTCTTGCGCTCGATGCTCCGCCATAGCACCAGCTAAGAGCAGCGAATCAATGTGAATTTGCTACTACTCGCAGGGTCCGGGAACATAAGCATACTTACTAAGCCCCACTGACCCTCCAAGTGTTGCTTCCATGTACTGAAGCACAACTTATAGGCGGGCCACGTTCAAGGTGTTTTGCATGGACTTCTCCTCGGGTCGTTCCCCCTTCCTTGTGCTGCTATCCAGGTAATCAAGCTACTATGATGACACGCCCCCTTACTATGGGGTTCCCCAAGAGGGGAACCCCTAATTTTGGGAAACCCCCCCATATCCAGGTATGGAATGTCGCGGGAAGAGATCAAGGACCGCCTTGAATCTGCAGGGCTTTAATTGAGCTACCATCTAAACCTTATTATAGGGGATTCTATGGGGGACAATTATAGGGGTTATTCATGAAGCCCCTGTCTTAAAAGCTTGCTGCGTCCTTCAAAAGCTTCCACATTTGCGATGTTTGACTCGCACATGCGACTGCCACCAGACTACCAGTCTTTAGGTGCCATCCTAAGGGCACAATGTAGAAGCCGGAAAACTGACCAACACTATCCCCTGCGAATCCTCATGCAGGTATACCAGAAAATGCCCAAAGCCTTGTTCTGAGTGTTTTGTTTGTGGCCTGCATTGGCACTATACTCCCATCTAGAGCAGGGAGGGTTGCAGTGTTGAAGCACAGGGACCAAGCCTTTCCGTAAGCCTCCCCACGTCTCTCAAAGTTGCAATATGAGCCATAATCCAACCTCCTTGCAGGGGGGCTATATAGGGGAGTATGATCAGGGTTACTAATGGAGATACTAGGAGTTAAGACTATAGCTCATATGCGTCGTCATCTTCCAATCTGCCCAATACAACCAAAAGAACAGTTCATTTTGTAGTGTGGGAAGTGGTATGGTTGATGTGACCCGAAGTTTACGATAGTACCACAAATCTCGAGGTTTTGGTATATAGGGTGATGCAGGATTCTATCCATTAGCAGTACATAAAGATTTCTTGGCTGCGTATCGCCTGCCCCCTAGGACTTTAGCTTCTTGAGTTCGATTACATTTTTTTTCAAGGGGCCAAACCCTAAACCCTAAACCTTAAACCCTAAACCCTAAGCCCTAAACAGCTCTGCAGAAGGAAGCAAAAGCGCGGGAGAAGGCTGAGCGCCGGCGGGCGAAGAGCGCAGAGATGTCTTCAGGCACCAATCAGACCATCCCAGGATGTATACGGGGTTTAGGGTTTAGGGTTTGTACAGGGCTTGTATAGGGACCATTTTGGTGTTTCATAGGGGTTGCATAAGGCATACAGAAACCGATCGGTGTCTAAGGATAATGGAGAATCAAATCATTAATTAAATTGAAGCCTGGACTCCACCGCGGTGTATAGGGTTTAGGGCTCGGGTATGGAACACCAAGTTATGAGGTGGTATCTACTAGTCCATGATCATATCTTTAGTGTAGATCAGGACACTAGTGTTTCGTCATATGCCCGCCTAGCCTGCTTGCATGCTCATTCGTTGCTGACAAAGCCCTGAGTCCGCGCTGAACTCCAGGGTTTCAATTGTCCATGTACCATTCCATGTCACGCTCCATTGTTGTCTTTTAAAGCCGTTGCGTGATAATTGTACCTTGAGTGTTTGTGTGCTGGACTCTGCTGATGCAGCGTTCAGCCCTTTGTGGCCGACGAAGGTTGAGCCATGGTAATTATTCAGGGTTTAGGGTTTTGGGGTTTAGGGCGTGAGGGTTTAGGGTTTTAGGGTTTAAAAAAGGGCGTTAGGGCTTAGGGAACCCAATAAATAAAGACCCCCCCAAATACAATAATCCTTATGATGGGGATCCCCCCAAAAGGGACTGCTGATTGCCGGCAATTTCCAGTGCACCCTAACCCCCAAACCCTATGAGGTCACCATGTCTCGTGGTTTCTACCTGCCTGAGCTTTGTGTTAGCTCCTACTTGATAAGGTCTGGGGTACTTAGCAAATGGTTCTACGGGGGACAAGTACAGTTACTGTATCGGTTATGGATATTCTATTTTTTACGTCTCCCTGACCCTAAACCCTCAACCCTTAGACACTCGTGTTTCCTTTTCTTTTCCATGATCACTGCATGAATCTACTTACTAAGTCCCCCTGGACCTCCAAGCCGTATGTCGATTTCGTCAGGCCCAGAAGATTCCAGAAGCTCGGGTCGCTTTCGGCAACCGGCTTCTTGCTCCCAAAGTGGGAGTTTCTCAAGGTTTTAGGGTTTACGTAGGCTTTAGGCTTTTGGATATACGGTTTAGGGGTTTAGGGTTTAGGGCCTAGGGTTCAGACTTTCTACTGGTACCCTCGAATATGTGCCTGGTGGGGACGTAGGGGTAATATTTGATGGGGATCCCAGGGGAGGCGATAGCCCCAACGTGATGCTGAAGAGGTGCGCTTACGATCCCAGTGCGTACCGAGCATTTCACACGTCTGGGAGGGTCAGGGGGACTTAGTGAGTAGTTAATATCCCTTAGAACCCATATAGCAACCCTAACTACCCCCTCCTTGCTTGCCTACTTATTACCCCCCCCTGACCCTCCAAGTAGCCGCCCCAACTGAACCCTACCACGTAGCCTATCAAACAGAGAATTGAAATTTTGTTTTGTTTCAGGCCCTCCGTCAACTTCGTCCACTGCATCTAAAGGTTCGTATGAGGATTCCAGTCACACCAACCCCTGCCAGAAGGACTTTTTTACCGTCACATGATTTACAACCGTCGCATGACCATAATACAGTCGTAGTTTCTTTAAAGAAGTTGGGGTAAGTAAGATGCTGGTAGTATGTGCCCGGTTCCAGTTGAGGGTCCACCTGCTGTGCATGAGTGTCCTCAAACAGCGAGGTTTGGTAATCACAGTCAGAACTACTAGCAACAGCTAGAGTCAGCATGCTTCCAGTTACCCTGAACCGGGATACCCAGGGCGATGCTGCGGATGGAAGAGCTCTATTGCGCAAGAAAGGCGGGCCTGTTTGGACTTGGCCTCTCAAGATTCCTCGCTTTAAAGCATAGGCAACGCAGCCCTTACATCAAACAGGTGCTTCCATCGCAGGAAGAATGCGGCATTCGCAAAACCCCCCAGATTTAAGCCGCTGTGTACTTCAAGCATGTTGTTCGCCGGAGTAATACAGCGCTGGATCCTGAAGAAGCGTGTCATCAATTTGTTTGCCTCGCAGATCAGAAACGGTCCCAAGAGGTAAATAGGTCCCATTGAAGTCAACCGTCTCGCAGGAACGTCTAAGGCTTGCTTGGATGTTTCGCATTATATTGGGGGTTTATAGGGATCATGGAACAGAAAATGGAAACTACGATATATTATAGTAGGGTTATGTTGGGGTTATTTGGTGCTCCACCACGTCGGCGTGGCTCAAGTTTCAGTTGCAACAGTCAGAGTGTACAGCAGCTGCCCCGCCAGAAGTTCTTCCGGGGATGGCTATCGATGAGTCCGGGTTGCCATTACGGAATTCAAGCTAAGTTGCCATAGTGGATATACATATATATATATTATAACATGGTTTCTCCAAAATCGTACCTTTAAATCAAATTCCTTAGACACCTCTGCTCCCCCAGTATCCATTTCATTTTCCATTTTATTTTCCACTTGGTTCTCCATTATAGGAGAATATCATATACAGCAACCCAGGAGTTTGATGAGCGGTGGGAGCCTGTTCCACCCAAGCCCAGGGCAAAGAAACAAAAATCCAAACGGCGCATCAACGACAAGTGGCTGCGAGGGAAACCATCCTGTGACCCGGATGGTGTCGGGAAGACCAAGGTAGCCCTTGAGCTTCCTGGATCAATGTAAGGGATCCTTTATATTTTTTGGGGTATGGGATTCCTTGTATTTACGTAAAAGGGATCCTTCTTTCTAGGTTAATATGGGCTAAGATTCTAGGTACCACAGTAGTACTCTTTTCTCCTTCTTTTCTTGGAGTTTAATTAGGGTCAAGGGTTTAGAGCTAGGCTCGCCAGTAATTAGCACTTTCCTTTTCCCCTTTTTATTCTGAGGCCTCCGGATTAAAGCTGAACATTAGCTCCATATTCCTTGTATCATTATCGTGTATGGTACCTCAAGTGGACCTCAAAATCAAAATGATATTGGTAATTATCCAGGCCCCTGTAGTACCCTTATTGTCGAGGAGTTACTGGGGAACTCAGGATAATTGCAGGGGCCAGTTCTGAGCAACAGCCCTGTGAGATGCCTGGCATTGCCACACGCCGTTCCTCAAGCTCTGCTAGTAGGACCAAAGGAGACTGGAAAAGCTTGCTGAAACGCTGTCGGAGGTCGATTTCGGGTATGATTACCTATGAGTTTGGCCCGGATGCTATACTAGAGCCGATCTACCCTGACCTTGATGTGCAGAAAAAGTTCTTCCACGCAGGCCGACAGACAGATAACATCACGACTTTTACGTACCATGGAACGAAGCAGACAAACATAGCCTCCATCTCTGACATCGGCCTGCTGATGCCTGGGAAGAACGGGCATGCAGTTGCCCATGGGTCCGCGGATGGGACAGGAATCTCGGTTTTAAGGAAAGTAAAGCTTGCTATATTGGGGAAACTGTGTTATGTACTATTTCTACCCTTCGTGGTACCTTAATTTAAGTTCCTTAACAACAACCCAGGAATATACACTGCCAAGCTGGGCTCAGCCTGGTTATCGCGACGCTTCTGCGACTCAAACAGCATGTTTGTGTGCGCAGTCTGCGACCCTAGCCAGCCTGTGCAAAGCCCGAAGCCACCAAGAGTGACGTTCTCACGAAGAGTGTGGCCCTTCGGAATCATCATTCGCTACAGCCCCCACCGAAAGTCCGCCGAAGTCATCCATGTGGGTGATGCAGTGGTGACTTTTCAGCAGGAATTTGTGGTTCCGCTCTTCCTCATTTCCTGGGACATGCCAAAACCTTCAGCCAATATGATCCTGAAGCATCATGCGTGGGTGCGAGCTGAGCAGCCCTGGGCCCTGCCACAGCAAGTGGGCCGACGCCGCCTTGCCGTGCCATTGGGCGGAGAACACCTCATAAGGTTTGGTGCTGAGCATGATCCCCTGCAGCCGCGCAGAGGCCGCGAGGTCTGGATTGTCCCAGATTTTTTCGAAGAACGTACCCCCTTCGAGATACGGGTATGGAGACGAAAGATGGAGAGACGGTGGCTGTATGGTTCTCGAAAACATTGGCAGCTGGAAAAGTGGGCTAGGCTGGGTATCTGTTGATGCAAAGCCTGATCCATCGAATCTGCCCAGGATGGGGAACTGCCTCACCATGTTTCGACTCATTTAGCTCAAGCTGCTTGCTGGCAAGTCAGGTGCCCGATAATCAGCCCAATACTCTTTAATCAAGGAATATGGAGTAAACCATAGAAGGAATCCTGATAACCTTTTAAACGTTATAGTCTAAACTCTTTAAAGGGGTTATATGGGGGATTCTAAGCGAGTATTATAGGGCTTTTTATGGGGAATCCTACGAGTTTAGACCCTACAACCCTAATCCTTAAACCTCATATTATAGGGGTTGTTAAGGGGGATACTCGGATTCTTGGACATTGGGCTCCTTACTTATCAGCATTTTGCCTTGATCCCGAAACTGACAGCAAACCGAGCCGAGACATGGCTTCTGATAGGGTTTAGGGGTTTAGGGTTTAGGGGTCAATTTTAGGGGTTTAGGATTTAGGGGTTAGGGTTTAGGGGTCTATTCAGGGGTTTAGGGGTTAGGGTTTGGGGGTTGGGGGTTTAGGGTATAGGGTTTAGTGGTTAAGAAGCCTCGGTAGAAACTCGCTGCAGACAGAGTATTTGTACAGTGTACAGCCTTGGACCCCTGCGGAGAAAATGGCATGCGGTCATTCTCGTTTGTTTCTGCATGCTTGCATTTCCTTAAGCCCTAGTGTAGGGCATGTAGGGATCCACTCTCACCAAAGGCTGGGGTCTCTAATTTGTGCCCATCAAGCCCTGCAAACTTAAATGACAGAGCCCGACGAGGCTTGTGCATGATAGATCGAATATGGAACTGCTTAAAATCACAACAAGATCACCATATACCCCGTATTCAATCGATCTACTTACCCGGGAACGGTCTGAAGGGCATGGCGCTTGAAGCGTTGTGGAAAGCCTTTGCACCCGAAGGGCGATGCCTGGGAATGTGCCAGTAGGTTCTTGAAGGAGGCTTCTTCACGGGATTTGGGCAAAATTAATACGAGCTATACAGTCTAAAATCCTAGTATTCCCCTTAATCACCCCTATAATAATCCCCTATGTAATCCCTTATATAACCCCCTAGAACAACCCTTTCAGGAGTTTAGACTACTCCTCCCCCAGCCTGTTGCAACCAGGCGGACCGGCAAGGAACGGCGGCGAGAAAGGTGGCAAGGCTCCCATGAAGAAGGAGACTGCGGGGGCCTTAAGCATTGCGAGCTTAGCTCGTGGGGCCGATTGGATAAAGGAATGAATCCCCTTAAAGGGAATCTATAGGGTTATACAGGGGCTATATAGGGATAATGGAAAAGAAATCGAAACCACTGTAGTATATAGGGTTTAGGGTGCGCGAAGTGTATCAGGAGTCCCTGAATGTGTCTTTTAGCTTAGGTAACCTTGGATGTTCTGTAGGGCATTGGTTCATACCGGATCATACCACTGCAGCGTGCAAGTTGCTCCAGGCAGCCCAAATGCTACCTGAAGCAAGTGGGGGCTTCATGTTGGGCGTCTTTTTTCGGGGATACCCTTATAGAGTAGAATGTAGTATTTTGGCATCTATATTGGGTCCCACTATTCCGAGAAATTCCTAAAAGCCATCCACACGTTGCCCCCTCGAGCTGCAGTTCACTGGCCGCACGCTTGCAAGAAAAGATTGAAGATAAAACCAGGTCATAACCTACATCTCCCTATCGTTATTCATAGACGAATCATGTCTCTTGCCACCTACCTACCTATAGCCCGCCTTAATTAAATAGATAGAATATGGAATTCCCCAGAACCAGAATAAGATCCCCATATGTTCCATATTCTATCTAATATTATCTACTTAACGGGGGGACTATAACCTGCAGAGATGCATGCAAGCCTACCAACCTCCGAGGTAGTAGAGGATGCGAGGTATGATCAAACCACCAGCAATAGCCCCTCGTAATTAGTACTGTTGAGGACGGAGGTTTTGTGCAAAATACCGACCGAGCTAACCTTCAACTTTAAAGCAACCTTCGAGATGGATAACTTTACTCAAATGGTAGTTTCCCAAAATAAGGGGACCCCAATATAGACCCCAAAATACTATAGTCCTTATTATTGGGACCCCTAGAAGGGTACCCCTAATTTTGGGAAACCCCCAAATCTCCCCGTAAACCCTAAAATCTACACCGAGCTTACCAAGGTGTCGCCCGCCCGAGCTGGAAGTGTGGGCCTTCGACGCTCCATCCGCCGATAGCTGCGCAATCATGGGAGGTATGGGCTAAAGCTAGGTTGGGGGAAGGACCTATAGGGTTTGCGGTTTAGGGTATAGGGGAATATATAAGGTTTTAGGGGGACATATTCGGGAATATACCAGAACTTAATTAAGTCCAGGGCTCATGGACTTTCTGTAGTCCCCTGGTGCATCCCCAACAGTCTTTAATCTTACTTGGGGGTTAGTAGGGAATAAGAGAAACAATTATAAAGGGAATATATTCCCTTATTCCCTAGTAGCCACCCGCAAGCCATGATATGATGACTACTTCTGCTACTACTGCAGGTGAACGCATCACGAGGTGCCAACAACAATGGAGAAGATGCTTAACCCTAAACATCCCTAAACTAAACCCTAAAGCTACGGATCGTCATGAGTTGACACCCAAAGAGATCTGATGCCGCAAAGAGGAGGAGTGCACCACAGACAGCCTAGAGTCTGGATGCTTCAGTGCTGCGTGATGCTGCTAGGATGTTTCACGCCTCCTGGACTCAGGGTCAATGCGCACATGCACGGGCAGACGTGAAGCTGTAAGTTTTTTGTTTCGTTCTTCCCTGTTTTTCAGAAAGGCAGGATGTCCACTCGCTCATTGAATTTGCAAAGCTAAGAAGGTTTTTTCAATCAAGAACACCTGCTCCGCCATGCGTCTTCAAAGCAGCAGTTGCAGTTTCCATGCATTTGCCACCCTCATATGTGAGTGCAGCATGAATTTTAGACATGTGCTGAGAAGAACCATGAGTCCAGGCGGAACGGCATTCCATACAGCCACAGATTTCAGCGGCTTAGAGCGAAAAAGGTCCAGTCGTCACGCCAGCCTGCTGTCAGGACATGATCTTGCACGGTTCAGCAGGGCTGAATTGAGACATTTGATGGAAGCCTCGCGCCATCTAAACTTTAAGGCGCTACGGGCTGAAATCTCCCTAGAATTGACGTCATCATGCGTGCTTCAAATATTACGCATTGGTTGTACACAAAATTTCTGGTAATCCATATACCCGAACAGAAGGCTTGCCTCCGCTTGTTTAAGGTTTCGGAATGTTTCGGGTGCAGGGTTAATAGTTTCCCTAAATAGGGGGACCCCAACGTAGACTCCAATATATTCTAGTCCTTACTATGGGGATCCATCAAAATGGCACCCGTGATTTGGGGAAACCCCATATCTGGTAGATATTGAACCCTCCAACTTTGCGTAGCCCTGCGTATGAACCAGATTGGCCCGACCATGTCATAGGCTTTACTTACTGGGGGCTACTATAGGGAATATATTGCGTAGGTTTAGGGTTTGGGTTTAGGGTTTGGGGTTAGTAGGGAATACGGGAATATATTATATGGGGGCTATAAAGGGATTCTATTCCCTTTTTCCCTGCTACCCACCAGTAAGTTATTCGCTACGCCTCTCCAAATATCCTTGATAGCCGAGCTTGATTTCTACGTAATTCTTGTCTTAGTCCTGCATTCCCTAAACCCTGTAACCCTATACCCTAGGTGGACCCCC